TTTTATTTATAAATTAAATTATAATAATTAAATATAAATTATTAATGCTTATTAAATTAATTATAAAATAAAAATAATAAATTATAATAATATTACATTTATTTATTAGAAAAAATTTTCTTGATACTAGGGGATATAAATATTCTACCCTGATCATATGCTTTTGCAATTTAAAATTTATAAAATAAAATATTTATTTTTTTACAAATGCTAAAAATTAATGGTAAATAGAATTAACAAAATATTTCAAAATGAAATTCTTGAAAAAAATTCAATGATACAAAAGAACAGAAACATAAAATCTTAAATTTTTTTATATGGTCAGCACTAGCTGGCTGAGTCCTTTACGATCAGTGCTGGTAAAGAGTTTATCCTTCAGACAAACTCTTTGCTAACACTGATCATAGGAGATCCTTAAGCAACTCTATCCAAATGTAACTTTAAAACTTAAAACATGTTTATTAATATTATAGTCATTCTTATTTAAATAGCAAATTTAAATACTTTTGTTCTTTATAAGTATAAATAAACTCATTCTTTAACTGAACTTAATACTAAATGTTCTCTTTATCATCTATTTTATTTTTATTCTTTTCAAGACAATTTCTTGAATCATAGTATCAAGATTTATAAGTAACACATTTTCTTTTATTTTCTTTTTCATATTATTTACAAATTCATCTTTACTATCTAATTTTTGGTGTTTTTAATGACTGACAAATATCTTTTATTAGTGGACTTTCCTTTTTCTTTATATTGAATTAGGTTTATAATATTTAAAGATTTATTCTCTCTATCTGTTGAAATTCTATTTTGTAATAATAAAGAATTTATTTGATTTTCAATAAACTGCTGTATAAGCCTATCAAAAGTCTGATTTGATTTATTCTTAATTGCTAATGTTAAAACTTTTTTATAAAGTCTAAGACCTTGACTATATAGATCTTTCTTTGAATCTAATTCTTAATAGGTTTACTATATACATTTTTTTTCACGAATAATATTCATCATTTGAAAGTTCCAGTTTGCTGCTTTTCATTCTGAATCAAATAAATTGAATTTTCATTTATATTGTTTATTGATGCAAGTCTTTCTTTATAATATTATTAGGAAGGCACTAGTTTAATATTAAACTGTGCCATTTTTGATTGTAATATCATAGCAGAAAAATGCTTACAAACAAATTCAGCATAAATCAAATAGAGGCATATATAGTAATGCATATTATCATTGAGAATTAAAACAAACTGAAATCAGTTATTTATATTTTGAAGATATTTAACTTCTCAGATTTCTTTCATAATACCATCTAAACAATCATCTAGAGTCATATTAAGTAAAATTTGAGGTTGTTCATAATCATCTTCTATAAACCTTACATTATACTAATTTATACTCTAAATTTCAAAATATTAATCATAATTTTACATTTGACAAATAGAACTATATAAATCCTTACCTATATTACTATATCTCCAATTTTCTTTCTTCATATTCTATACAAAACACTTTTCACCATTTGTATTTATTGTAAAGCTAGAGAATCTAGTGTAAGATACTTCTTACAAATTTTATCAATAGATTTGAAAATAGTTTCAGAAACTTGAGGTATTTCTGTAGTGAGATTCATATACGAAATTCTTAAAATCTTGAATACTTAGCCTCATCCTTTAAGCACAATTTAATTCCTAAATGAAGCTGGTATAATAAACTTCCTGAGTTAGCTTTTATTTTTATTATATGATTTATACTTTTTACTCATTAAGTTGAATGTGTATTTGCTAAAAAATTGCATCTAATAAACCCATATGCCTAACAAGTCTTAATAAGATATAATACACATTTACAGTAATTTTTAACTTCTGGATAGTTTGTCATTAATTCACCCTAACAATTTTCAAAATCTAAAACAATATGAGAATTTTGTAAGATATAGAATTTACAAATAAAAGTATTTCATTTGTTGTTTAGTTTTCGCTTGATCTTTTTAATCAGATTTTGTCAAATATGAAATGCACAATATCTCATAATTGTTTTAGGATATTAATTATGCAATGCAACTTGTATTGCAGTTCTGCATCTATGAAGATTTTTACAGATTGAAGTCCATTAGTAGCTTGCAATGTTTGTTCTAAAATCCATTCATAGGTTGATACAATTTCATCTAAACTACTGCAGTTATTACAATTCGACTTCATTGATCAGAATCTATTATGATAAACACACTTAATGGTATTGAATATTTGTTAGTTTTACAAGTATTATCATTTATAACAACATTATAATATCGAGTTCACATTCTTTTTTGATCTGGTAATATCCAAAAAATTTTGAATAATCTATTATCAATACCTTTAAAGTTTACTTTAAAATACCACTCAGGATCTTCTATATATAAGTTTATCAAAATTTTCAAGTAACGTTGCAGCATCATTCTTAATTTGTGCATCAGACTTAAATCTATATATTGTATTATAAAGATCTTGGTTATAAATTTCATGATCAGGGTATTTGTTTTGTAAGATTCTTTTTAAAACAGTAGCTTTCAAATGATTCTCTTTAACATAAAATTGTATTTCTTCTATAACATTATCTGGAATCTTTCATAATGCTAGTGAAAATTCTTGAAAGGTAATCATATTTTGTAATATATGATTGTGTTTGCTAATGAATTTGTTAACAAATACTAAATTTGAATATTTACGATATGATGCATTTACCAGAAAACTACATTTAGTATGAGCTGATTTCTTGTTATGATTAAGTATAGGATTTACCTTTTTCTTAAATATGTATTTACCACCATAATGATATTTGTATGTTTTTCTGAACTATATACTTTCTTCTTTTTCAGATCTGACTATCCTAATCTCAAAGCCTGTTTGAATAACATATCAGTTTAAGTATTTTTTGAGTAATTCAAATGATGTAAATGTTTGTCTAGTATATATTTCTTCTAATGCACTATCATCAGATTCTATATTAGCATTATATACTTCATATAAATCATCATTTTCATCATGTATGTCATATAAGAGGTAAGTAAAGTTTTGAATATTAGTTATCTATATAAATGTACTAAATACCTAAAGATAATAAAAAATTTACAAAAATTGCTTAGCTTTGGAAGATTTAAGATTGCTAAAATGGTTTTTGTAAAGAAAGTAAATTTTATGAAAAAAAGAAAAAAAGAAAGAAAGGTTAATTAAATTAATTACAAATTGATTAAAAGTTTATTTTAACAATGTACAAATCATATGATTAGAGGGATAGATACGTATATCCATTGATACATTACTAATTTTTTCTATTTATTATTATTAATAATAAATATATTTGTATTATATAATTAATAATATATAATAATTTTAATATGTATTAATATTTATATTAATTATATGGGGGTTTGCTAGCAAAAAGAGACTCTGAGAATAATTTCTAATTTTGCATAATATGATAAACAAAATTTGAGCTTTAATGTTGAAGCGATCTATTTTTATAATTTTTAAATCAGATGATTTATATCATATGATAAAAATGATTAGAAAAATCATTTACATAAAAAAAATTTATTTTTTTATTTTAATAAAAATTAGTCAACACATTTTTCTTTCTGCTATTGAAATTTTGTATAAATTTTGCTATTCATAAGTTTCTAAACATTTTTAATTAATAATAATAAAGTTACTTTTATAAATATATTTTTTATAACTTTTTCTAATAAAAATTTGAAATATCTAATTTAAAATTTTAGTTAAATAAATTCAGAATGTATTTTAAGTACTTTGGTTAAAGTAAACTGATCTTTATAATTAATTGATAGTTGTTTAACAGGTCTAAAACTACTCAGATATAAATCTTATAAAGGTACAGTTAATATGTCTTTAGTTATTTACTTTTTAATACAGTATAAACTTATAAATTTTATTTTTTCCATTCTATATCTTCAGAGCGTATTTTAAGCATTTTAGTCAAAGTAAACTGATTTTCATAAATAATTGAAAGTTGTTTAACGGATCTGAAACTACTCAAATATAAATATTTATGAAGATATAGTTAATGTGTCTTGAATTATTCACTTTTTTCATAATGGTATTAATTTATGAATTGTATTTATTTTGTTTCATAATTTCAAAGTATATTTTAAGCACTTTGATCAAAGTAAATTGATCTTTATTATTAATTGAAAAGTTGGTCAATTAAATTACTAGTTTAGAAATTTATAATAAAATTTATTTATATAATAATTTAATTGTTTCATATTTTTCAAATACTTTAAAATTATAAAAAAAAATAAGATGATGTTTAGCAATTCTCAAGTTAAAATATTATTTTAAAATAGATTTAACTTCTTTTAATATAATAATTTAATAAGTTAAATAAAATATTATTTTAAAATCAGATTACTCAGGTCTTTCATAATATTTAATTTTAGAAATTTAAATTATTAATAACTATAAGTTCACATCATAAATTATGCAACAATTCAGCCTTTATAATTTAGCCTTTATAATTTAGTTATTTTATTTCTTTTTATAGAAATAATTTCAGATGTTTTAGCTATTTTACTTCTATTTTTAAAATTAAAAAAAAAATACTTTTTTTTATATATAAATAAATATTTAAAAGATTTAATTTAATTTATTTTATTTTAATTTATTTTTAAAAATTAAAAAATCTTTTTATTTTAAATTTTAAATTATTTATTTTTATCAAAATAATGTCAATGTCAATAGAAGCTAAAATGATATCAAGACTAATATACAATTTAATTTAATTAGGATTAGAAGATTATGAAGATAATGATTTTATTTTAAATATTGTTCATAATCTAAAATAATTTTTTGAAGATTTAAATTGCATTTGTAAAATTTTAAAAATCAAAGAGATTTAAGAACATGTTATGAAAAAATTGGATTTAAACAATTTTTTGAATAATATATTGAATTAAAAAGATTGGAAAAATATGAATATGAATTAGTAATAAATCTTAACTTTTAATATTTAAGATTAATAATAAATTATAAAATTCAAAAGTACACAAATATAAATATTGTATTAATGTTTCATTTCTTATATATTAACTAGCATATTTAAAAAATATGTAAAATTAATAAACATTTTCTTAATACTTTATAAGATGATTTATATAAAAATGGATTAAAGAAATGTATATATAGAAATACTGGTCATGATCCTAAAATAGATAGTAAAATTTTTCTTAATATTAATATTACATTTTTAGTAAAACAATTTTAATATAGTATAGTAATATTAATGATTTACCTTTACTATTATAATATAAAAATAATTCTGAAATATTTATTTATTTTCCTATTGATAAAAATATTACATCAATTTATAAAGAATATAAAATTATTATTATACTAAATTTAAAATAACTGAAAAAGTAATTCTTATTCTACTTTTCAAAAACTTTGGTATAATATGATGCTAAATCTTAAATTTCAAACTTCAAAAAGTATTCTTTGTGAAACTTGTAAAAAATTTAAAGTTAAATTACAAGTAAAAAAACATAATACTGATAAATATGAATAATTAAAAGTTGAATTTGAAAATCATAAAATACTAATACAAAATGAATGTCAATATTATAATAATAATATAAGTAAAAGTAAATCAAATTCATCAATTATACATATTTGTTATAATTGGATACAAAATGTTTTTATATAATATTTACCATAACAAGTTAGTTCTATTTATTTTAAATCAACTTTTTCAGTACATCTTTTTAGAGTTTGCAAAACTAAAGGAAAATAAAATTATTAATTAAATTTATAATTAGAAAAAATGAAATTCCAAAAAATATATCTAAAGGTATTAATATAACATTAAATATGATATAATTTTCATTTTAAAAATTTGTTACTAATAAAAAAAAAGTTTACAAATTACATGTGATAATTTTTCTAGACAAAATAAAAATAATTTATAACTTTAATTTTGGTCTTGAATAATTATAATAGGTTAATTTGAAAATATCACAGTTAATTTTATAATTCCTGAAAATACAAATTTATATATAATTCATTTTTTGGCAAAATTAAAAAAGTTAATTAAAAAAAACGTGTTAATACTATAGATGATATTAGAAATATTATTAATAATTTATCAGAAAGTAATGAGGTAATTTTATTAATGATGAAATAAATTGAAAGTAATATGATTTTAATATATTATTTAAAAATCATTTTAAACCATTTTCTAATTTAATACAATATCATCATTTTCGATTTAATAACTTACCTAAAGATATAAATAAAGTATATATTTCAAAAGTATCTAGTGAAATAGAAACTTCTTTTCAATTATTAAAAGTAATAATTTTAACAAAAATGATGAACTTAATATAATTCCACATGTATAATTAACAAATAAAAGACAAAAATATTTATATTCAAAAATTTGTCAATATATAAATGATTCATTTAAAGATATTTATTATGCAAATCTTTTAAAAGGTTAAAATATAAATTTTCATTTTATTATTTCTTTTTGTAAAAAAAAAAAAAAAAAAAAAATATTATTTAAAATTTATTTTTTAAAGGATATGAATATATCTAAACCCCTATATTTTTATTTTTATTTTTAATAAAAATATTAATAAATAAATTAATCTTTTTATTATTTTTTATATCTTACTTTTAATTATAAAATAAAATTAATAAATTAATAAAATTTTAAATTTTAAATTATATATAATTATTTATTAATATTTTTTAAAAGCATCTAATAATTATAAAAATATAAAAATATAATATTTAAAAATTAATTATAATATATAATTTTAAATATAATTATTTTACTATTTGATTTATTTTAATGAGAAGATTTAAATTTTAATTTTTATAATCATTAAATAAGTTATTTTATTTTAAATTTTATTATATAATACAATATAAAATATTAAATTATATCGATTATTTTCTAAATAGTATATTAACTATATTTATCATTTTTAAATTCTATTTTTAGATATACTATATAAAAAATTCAATTGCAAATTATTTATTTTAATATGCTGTAAACGGTTTAGTCGCATCAAATAATTAAGTCACTGCTAAAATTTTTACTGATCATTTTCATATTCAATTAGTAATTTCATTAGTCAAAAATTTTAATACGTGATCAATTATAGTCACATGATAATAGTTAAATCGTGAAATACTGTGTTATTTGATATCATTTGCAATAGTTTTTTTAACATTCTTTTTTATCTCAATTTAATAGAATTATAATGCTGAAAGTAAATAAATGTACTAAACAGTCTTGAAAAGCTATTTAAAAATGCTGAGAATAAAAAAAGCTCTGAAGAAATTATGCTTAAGCTATCAGATGCTAAATCTGATAAATTTGATGAATCATGGTTTGGTAATTTTTAGATAAAAGATGAGAAAATATAGATAATTTAAGGGATTATTATATTTATTTATTATTATTTTTTTATTTATAATTATAAATTAATGTTAACTTTATCATTATATTACTGGATTACAAATTAAAAACTAATGAATTCGTCAAAATTGTTAAATCATCGAAAACTGTCAAAACTATCAATTTTTGCTAAATAGGATTAAGATTTTGTTCTGCAATCTTAGTATCTTTAAATATTACTGTATTATTAAGTATTTAATTTTTATTAAATAATTTTACTGAAAGGTAAATATTAATACAAATAAATTATTAGATTTTTTGTTTAATATACTTTCTTTTAAATACAAAGAAGTTGAATATAAAGTTTATAAAAGACTAGGTATATATTATAATAATTGCTATGCTATTAAGTTTATCTTCTTCTCTCTTTCAGATTAAACCTTAAATTTTTTTTGCAATATAAAACTTTTCTTACTTCCTAATATAGACATTTATGTATATCATAAGTTAAATCTTACATTATGCATTATTTTGTATGTCATTTTATTCTCAACTTTAATTGTGGTTATAATGTTTAGTATTAAACTTAATTACGAACATTTATAGTAAATTTAATCTTTAAATAAAACATAATTTTTTGACAAACTGAGTAAAATAAAGTTTTTGCATTATTATCATAAAATATGTAAATGTGAATTAAATTATAAAACCCTTACTTTTATATAAAATATTAGAATATAGATATATATTTACATTATTTATGTAAAATTTAATATAATTCATAAATACAGTCAATGATCAAAATTATGTAAACATTTTTAAAATCAAAAATATTATAAACACATAATAAAATAAAATAAAATTTTAATAAAATAAATACAAATATATTTTTATTTATTGATTTATAAAAAAATTTAATAATTAATCCTATTTCTATTATGGTAATTCACTGTGATATACTATTAATTAGTTTTTTGTAATATTTCAGAAGAATATCTTTTCATGCATTTTTTACATACTTTCAAGTACTTTAATACTAGATAGTGATAGAGTTAATGTTAAAGAATAGGATTTTGTTTAAGAATAATATAAATAGCTGTTTTATTGCTTCCTAGCTGTTTAGCTATAGTATAACCTGATTGTTTACATTTATAACATAAGTAATAGCATCATAAGTTTTGAAAGTAAGTACTTTCATTTTTAACATAAACTTACTTAAAAGAGAAAAGGTTTAGGATATTGTTTATCATTATAAGTAAAAAGAACGTATTATTTTTAATTATATAATTACGTAAAGATCAAACTGCCTAATTTTGATAAATCAAAATGTACACATAATTTTAGTCATTGATTGTAGAATTTTAAATGAGTCAAGTCAAGTCGAGTTTAAAGACTAACTCTATTCGACTCATTTTTTTTAAGTTGAGTTGAGTTGAGTTTATTTTATAAAATCTTTTAATTTGATTTGATTTGAATTATATAAATTTTAAACTCAACTTAATTTAACTTGACTTGAGTTTAACTTAATTCAATTTTAACTTGAATTTATTCGAGTTGAATTAAGTTCAAATCAAGTTTCAAATCAAATTTTAATAAAAATTTATTTTAAATTATATTATATTATAAATTTTATATATTATTTTATTAAATTAAAATCATAAAAAAAAATAATACAAAATTATTTATTTAAAAAAAAGCATAAAATAAAGAATTTTATATTTTCTTTAAAACAGTTTTTCACTAAGATTTAAGACACATATATACTCTAATTGTTTCTACTAATAGATTACATCTTTTTTGTATAATTAGATCAATTCCCTTAGAAAATGCTCTTTCTATCAGAATACTAATAGCTTAAAAAATAAAAGAAGCTCATCCAACCTAAAAAGAAAGAAATTCACTCATTGGTAAATTTTCAAGATCTAAAGAAGGCTAGTCCTAAAAAAAGAAAAGAATATTAGTAATATTTTTAAAGAAGTTCAAAAAGAAGGAAATTCATTCACTGGTAATTCTTAAGATTTAAAGAAGGCCAGTTTTAAAAAAGAGAAGCAAAAAAGAATGTTAGAAACGTTTTTAAAAAAGCTCATCTAACTCAAGAATAAAGAAATTCACTTACCAATAATTCTCAAAAGCTGTTCCTAAAAAAGAAAAGCAAAAAAAGAACGTTAGCAACATTTTTAAAGAAGTCTACCCAACCAAAGAAAAAGGAAATTAACTTACAGGTAATCTCAAGATCCAAAAAAGGACAGTCCTAAAAAGGAGAAGCAAAGAAAAGTTAGTAATGTTCTCAAAGAAGTCCACTTCAACCCAAGAAGAAGGGAACTCACTTACTGGTAATTCCCAAGATCTAAAGAAGGCAGATTCTAAAAAGAAAAGGAAAAAGAACATTAGTAACATTTTCAAAGAAGTTCACCTTAACCCAAGAAGAAGAGAACTCACTTACTAATAAGTTTCCAAGGCGGTTTTTAAAAAAAATTAAATATATAAAATAAAATAAATAAAAAAAATTAAAATTAAAATTAAAAATTAAAAAAAAAAAAAGGAAAAAAAAAATATTTTAATAAATTAAAAAAAAAAGACAATTAATAAATAAATAAAAAAAAAATTAACTGATTTTAATTGACCTGAAAAAGCAATCACTGATGTCACAAAGGAAAAATAATAGCAGTAAACTGGATATTGCAAAATTTACCTTATATTGGAGTCACTCATAGTTTTACTGAAATATTAATAATTCTTAAAAGGTGGAAAATAATATTAAAAAATTATTAAAAAAAATAATAAAAACTGGGATTGGAAAATAATTAAAAAAAAATATTTTAAAAGGATGGGTGAGAAAAATAAAAATAAATAAAATAAAAAAAGCAGGGGTGTGGGAATTAAAAATTAAATAAAAAAAAGAATCAATTGAAAGAAAAAAAAAAGGAAAAATAAATTGATTGATAAATCAATTGATTTAAGACGTATTAGTTTATTTATCTTTAAAAAGTAAAACTCCCTTACATAACATTAGATCAATCTGCTTTCATTAATAATTAGTTGGTTTAGTAGTCTTTTTCTTGGCTTGCTAAATTGGATAGTATGGGTTAGTCTTAAAAAATTAAATTGGTTGGTTAAGTTAATTAAATGATTAATAATTAATTTATACCTTTTTTATATGACTAATTATTTTTTTAGAATTTTGGGCTGCCATGGTATTATTTTAGTAAGGGTGTTTAGAGATTACTAATTATTTTTTTTCTAGAATTTCAGGCTGCTGTGGTATCAGTTCGATAGGGCATTTATAAATTATTATAATAAAATAGTAAAATCAATTTTTTCAAAAATTTTATTTAAAGACTTTTAATTCATAATTTATTTGAATAGAATCCAAAGTATAGGAATAATCTTTTTATGGTTTTGGGGTCAGATTATTTCTCCTATGCAAGCTTTTTTATATAAATAGATGCAATTTTCAGTAAGATAAAGCTGAATTTTATATTTATTTATTTTTTTCTTTTCTTAATACAATTTATAGTAAGATAAAGCTGTAAATTTGTATTTTTTTTTTAAAACAATTTTTTTTTAAAAAATCAACATTATGGCTACTCAATTAATTGAAATTAAAAAAAATAAATCTTCTTTAACTTTAATAAAAGTAAGAGTAATTTCAAATTATTTATAACTTTTAACAGATCCTTTACTTAATAAACGAATGAAAATAATATCATCGTGTAATAATGGTAATTTAAGTGAGCTTTTTACTTCTATTTTTGTTTCTACCTCTGCAAAATAATGAGGTGTTAATACGATTGGTATTTAACTTTGAACCGATGTTGATCCCGGGTTGTGGAGGCGAATATTGTAAATGGGACGAGTTTAAAGAGATTATCGGTGATCAAATTGGGTGCGATCTTTCAAGGAGTGCACTTTCCCTTTAATAGAATGATGGGTAAAAACATTATAATTATTCTTCATAAATAAAAAATTAAAAATCACAAAATAAACGGGTTTACAAATAAACTACAAAAGCACGAAATAAACGGTTTATTATCAGAATTTACATAAACATAACTCGAGTATTGGATAATAAATTTATAATTGAATAGATTTAGTTTGAAGTTAAAATACTTCCGTTACGTAAAATCTTATTCGACGCAAAGGGTTTTTCGCGAAAAAAAAAAAAAAATTCAAAAAAAAAGATTATTGATAATGCCACATGTAATGCTTTTTTTTATTTTTTTTTTTTCGTTAAACTGCGCTTTGTATTAATTTATCTTCCCCCTTTTCATTTAGATGATATTTTTAGGCAAATTTAAGCGAATTCTTTCGGGTTTTATCACTAAAGATTGTGTTAATTTTATTTTAAATAATTTTTTGTTTATTTTTAGCTGCAGCAATTACGGTGGGTTTTAACAACAACTTTCGGGTTGACTTTCTTCGAAATTAAACGCACACAGTATGTAACTTTTTTTTATATTATAACCTTCGTTAATTCTTTTTGATTTGATTATTTTTAGCTTTTTCCTTAGTCTATTCAGGAAGTATTATTGATTTTTTTTAATTTTATTTTTGATTTAGGCGATTCGTGTAACGCCATTATTATATACCTTATCATACGCCGGAGGAATTTTGCATCTTCTTACCTGTAACATACGGGTGCACAAAATTACAAACTTTCATTGGTTCAATTATTTATTAGATTATATAAGGACTTTTAATAATTTACTACTTACTAATAATTAATAAAAAAAAAAAAAAAAATATTATTACGGGGCGCGTTGGCTTTTGTAAATTTTCGGTTATCGAATCAAGAAATTTACCTAGATTACTTTATCTTGAACATATTTTTTTTTTTTATTTTTTAATAAGTCTATTGATAAAATATTTAATTAAAAAATTTATTTCATATATTTTAATAAAGATTATATTTCACTATTCATATGGTTAGTTTTTTTTCGTCTACAGGTGAAAAACTAATTTAAATACTCAAGTTGGCAGCCTTTATATTTTATCAGTGTTGTCACTTCCAATAGATTCACAATCAGAATTGCCAAAAGAATAGCTGATATTTTCTTGATCACGTGAATCATGCTCAAGTTCCGATGGATCCTCTGAAGGATTATCAAAATCTTCATGAGATTCAATTTCACTTTCATCAGAATAATATTTCAATACATACTCATCATTTCTGATTCCCAAATATGTATTTGATTCTTGATCTTCGTCAGGAGTTGGTAGATTATGATAACCGGTCATGATTTCTTTAATTACGTTGTAATTTGCATCCCTAAACCTTACACTACTAGCTTCAAATAAATGTCTTAGCCCTTGAGATTGAAGTTCCCGTCTTTTATATGGATCTGTTTCATTTTTTGAATCTTTAATTAATAATGAGCCATAATTTATTTTTGCGTACATGTTAACATATACGACGCAATTTTCAATAGTAAATTTCCACTCAGCCGCTGCTTTCATATATCTCATAATATCATCATTTTGTAAATGTAACGAATGTGAAACATTTTCTCCTGTTGAATAATGTCGCCTTATACTATCCTCAGATATAATCGCAAGTATATTAAACGCATTATGATATCCTTGTTCTGCTGATTTAAGAAAATAATCGATTGCGATTTGCTTGGCCTCGTTTTCATCCAGAAAATCATTCTCATCCATGGTATCAGATTCTGTTGTAGGACTTTCTATTATTGAGCCGTTATCATTTGCGAAATCAGTATACTTTGACAAATCAATATCATTCATGGGTTTGTGAATCAGACGATTATCGTGTTCAAGTGCGTGTACGCCATAGTCGCTGCAGTAAAAATACATTCCCAATTGATATTGGGCATGAGGATTATTATAATCATCCGCCAATTCTTGATAAATGTCTTTAGCTTGATTAAATTTTAATGATTCATGAAGTGTTTGAGCCTCATTTAATTTATTTATAACTTCTGAAGTACTCGCTACTGCATTTATCGGATTATAACTAAGAACCAAAATGTTTACGACCATAATTCTTGCATGTTAAAAGAAAGAATATCAAATACAATTAAATTAAATAAATTACTTACGTGAATTGTATGCCATAATAATCGTGAAACGTTTTGACATTTCTCTGAGCGTTAGTATTTTCGTCGACATCTTTCTCCGTTACTTGCTGCGGATCTAACATCGCTTCATAAAAGTTCTAAATAAAAGAAAATTTTCTTAAATTTGAAAATATAAATAAGAAATGATTTTTTTTCAAAACATGTAGATTATTATTACCCTAAGTACTTCGAAAAAATTGTACATTTCGCAATATTGAAATCAATTTTAACGCGTAAAAAGTTTTTTTTTTGACGGTTCAAAACAAACCTTGATTATATAGTAAAGTATGTATTATTTTGAATGATAATACATGTCTTCTCTTTGTGATTGTGTCGTATTGATGTAATTGATGTATTGACATACAATTCGAATTCTTTACTTTTATCACGTGACACACATTAAAATATGTATTTTTTTTTTTTTTTAAAAATAAAGTGCTCTATGAATTTTTTTATAAATTTTATTATGACGACATCTTGTCGTGGAAAAAATAATAATATATATATTCTATAAAATACAAGTAATAGTTCTTCCCACCAGATTTCGTCGATCTAACCAAAAGGTCAACGCGCGCCACAAAAGCCCTCCAAAAAGGGGCATATTCAAAATTACAACAAATAAATATTAGGTAAATTTTTTATTTTTTCTCTCTATTTCTTTTTTTTTCTTTCTTTTCTTTCTTTAATTTCTTTAATCTTTCTCTTTCTTTTTTCTTTTTTGATTGTTTATTATTAAGTATTAAATAAAATAAAAATAAGGATATAAACGATACTCAACTAAATATATAATTATTAACAAAAGTAAGGACCATGACGGTTGATATTATGTTTTTTAATAAATACTTTTGCGTCTACGGTAACGGCATCACCCAACTCAAATTCTCTTAATTTAGGGTGTGATGATAACCTCTTTAGATGATTTGCTGATAGAGATTGATTCTGTTTTAGTCTAATTGATAATTCCTCGAGATTTTTGAACTTCAAGACAGCCTTAATAAATGACTAAACAGAAAAAAAAAATAAAATAAAATAAAATAATTGCTTAAAATTAAAAAAAGAAAAAAATTTCAAATGAAAAAAAAATCATCTCGGTACTTACGTTTCTATTTAATTTGGAAAAACTGCATTTCAACACCAAAATTCTTAACTTTTGACAATTCTCCGCCAAATTTTCCAACAATTCAATTTCCGAATTTTGATTTGATTTTAATTCCAACTTTGATTTAAGTACGCATGAATGTTTGAACACGCAAGCATTTCCTGTTGGAAAGATTTTTAAAATCTCAAGATTTTTATAACAACCCCCTTTCCCCCTAAAATATCTTTTCCTGGATAATTCAAACAAGAGTTTTGTAGCGGTACTCTTGGGGAAATGACCAGAGAACTCGATTAATCTTTTACAATTTTGTAAAAGGTGAATAAATGCCATGGAAGTTATTCGGCTTTGATTATCATTTTGTTCTTGACCATCACCAACATTACCACCACCATCGTACCCTCCCGGATAATTTACGACATTAAATATAAAGGACGTTAAATTTGGACAATTCTTAACTATGAATAAGATACCATTGTTCGTTAAGTTTGGCATATTTGTAAGTTGAATCTTTTTAAGTTGACGATTCTTTTGGGTAAGGGAGGAGATCGTTTCATCCGTCAAATTTTGACAAAAACTTAAATTGATGGATTCTAATTGATTGCAAAATTCTGACAATAATATCAAATCAGAATCGGTCAAATTGGAACATTTGAACAATTCCAACTTCTTAAGTTTTGTTTGAGTGGTAGCAAAGGTATTAATAAATGTCGAACTTGTGTCCAAGTCTAAAATGGCGGAAAGATGTTCTAAAGGAGGAAATTCTTTTGCAATTTCCGTTGTCATCTCCTTTGAGATCGATTGTGGAAAGGTAAATGAAAAGGACTTTAAATTTGGAAATCCATGCAAAAGAGTTTTAAGAGCTTCGGGTTCTATGGTTTTTATACTTAACGAAGTTAAATGTGAAAAAAATTTTATTATCATTAATGCATTGGTATTTGATATTTTTGTTCTAATCTCTAAGGACTCTACAGTTTTACATTTCCTTCCAATGGAATACAAAAAATTAAAACTTAATTCCTTCGTCGTCGTTATCACTGTCTGATGTTGGTTGACTTGTTGTGATGTTGATGATGGTTCACAAAATAAAAGTTCTCGTAACTTTGAACAATTTCCATTAATTATTGGCATTAAGGCCGTACTCATCCATTTGTCATCAAAATGTAAGGTTAAGAATTTTATCGATGTTAAATTTGGATTCTTTTTTATTAACAATAAAACCGATTCGGGCGCAATTATGGTCCCTTCGCCATGTCCAAATGTGAGGTGCGTTATATTGAAACATTTTTGTGAAAGTAAATGCATGTCCGAGAATGAGAATAAGGGTTGAGGTCGACTTCGATACGGTGCAAACGAGAGGTGCCTTATCATTTGACTATAATTATATAATGTCTTTTCTTTCTTCAATGTGTTTAAGAATAATTTATATGACTGTGGTGTCTTCCATATCGGTGACTTCCACAAGAGTCTTATGAATATCTAAAAAAAAAAATAAGAATGAAAAGGAGTTTTTTTTTTTTTTTTTCCTTCTTTTTATTTTTAATTGTTAGAAGAGGAGAAGAATTTGCTTTTTTTTTTTGTTTTTGTTTTTGTTTTTCACAGAGTTTTTTTTTTCCCTTTTTTTAAAAATAAAAAAAAAGCCGGTCTTTTTTGAACTTACTTTCGTCCACGTCGAATGGATAAATAAACAATTGTACAAGTCATATTGGTCTCTATCATCGGCAGAAAATTTTAAGATTAAGGGAAGGATGTCAACATTTAATATAACGGAATGTTGTGAATTTTTTTCACACATTTTTTTTTTTTTTTTTTTCACTTCACACAAGGGATAGGATAATAGGAAGATCATTTTTTTATTTAGACCATTTTATTTATAATGTTTTATCAGATGACTTTTTTTTTTTTTTTTTTTTTTCTCGGATGTATACCTTCCGAACTAAAATGACTATTCTAAATGCAAAGTCTTACAATGAAAAAGTCGTTTAGATTTACCGATTCACAACATTGATTGTATTTACGCTGTGAAACGTCGTTATTTAACCGCCACAAAATCATGCCATCACGTGTCACAAATTCTTTTTTTACTTCTGTTGCATTCCGGACGCACAAATTGAAAATTCTTGAAACGTAATTTAACTCGTACGGCAATCAAAAAAAAAAAGTCAAGTCAAGCGAGAAAAAATTTTTTTCTTTAACTAATCTTGATGATACCTTCTAATCTTTACCAAAAGTGGATCAGGTTGAGTGAAGAAGGCATATTTGACACCTAAAGGGGTAACCTTATCCACCAATTCGATATCAAATTGAAGAAAGGTTAAAACCGTCAAGATCCTTATCTCGATCATGGCCAACTTCCTTCCCGGACAGTACCTCGTCCCACCACCAAAGATGATCAAGGCTTTGGAATTGTAATCCTCATCGGGATTCAAGTGACGTTCGGGAATGAAACTTTCGGGATCCTTCCAATACCTTTGGTCATTATGAATACCAACAACGTTCACGATGAAATGCGAGTAAGCTGGCCACTTGAGACCACCGAACTCTTCCGGTTCCACATTAATGCGATCGACCAGGGGAGCCAATGAACTCATGCGTGCCACTTCCTTGAGCACCGCATCGATGTACGGAAACCTTTCGGAAAATTTCTCACAATCTTCAATTGTAATTGGACGGGGATTTTTTCCGAGAACCCTTTGAGCTTCACCGCGCACCTTATCCAACACCTCCGGGTGACGACAAAGATAATACACGATAAAAGTGAAGTAAATGCGGTCGAATCGATGCCCCCTCCGGCAGCCTCAACCATGTTGATGATCAATTCCTTGTCATTCATGGGACGGTTATACTTTTTGTTGAAGGTCTTTGAGGAATCTTGTCCCGGATCGTACTTTAACATTAAAGTCATGATATCATTTGTTAACTTGTCATCGCTTTCGTCGATCGAATGAATCCTTTCCCTGTGTCCCACGATAATATCGGAAAACAGTCGAAAAAAATCACCCAACTTGTTCTTAAATCTCGAAGAGACACCCTTTAAAACGGGTAAATTTCTTATGAAAGAATTGGTGAATGCATAAAATAAGTAACCATCTTTAAATGATTTAAAACCTTCAAGGAAATCCAAAGATTCCTTGATATTATCCTTCGAAACGTCGGTCTCAATTCCGGTGGATTCGGTCAAATAACTGACCATACTATAACCCCTCTTGTTCATCATCAATTCATAAATATTATCGGTCGTAAAGCAAGTCATCCATTCCCTCAGATCGGTTACCCGATTTTCATCAAGTTGATTCCAATAGGAAGTCAACTCGTGATAAAATTTTTGCGTCGTGCTAACGGCCAACTGTGAGAAACTCGGGGTCAAAAGGGCCTGAGAGAAAAAATGTCGATTGAAATGCCACGCTTCGAAATCATGATTCCATGCGATACCGTATCCCGCTATACCATACTCCTCTAATCCTGGATTATATTTACCCCTCAACTTGAAATTCGATTTCGTTGATGGTGATAGTAAAGTATCCATCAACTTGAAATTCGCCACGCTAATGATCCTTTCGCTCCCGAGGTAAATCTCAAATATTTCACCATACTTTTTGTAACAATCGTTCAAGAATTTGACGTAACCATTTATGCTGAACAAATACAAATTCCCAAGAATCGGTAACGGGAAAGGTCCCGGCAACGGATTCGGCCTCGTAAGGTATCGATAGTAATATCGCGCCACACACGCCGAAATGAATAATGTCGTAATTGATACCACCTCTCTAAATCCGATATACGTTAGGAACGCCATGATGCATCACACATATAAATAATTATGTATGGGTATAATATATATATTATTTTTTGGGGAAGGGGAAAAAAAAAAAAAAAAAAAAAAAAATTATTTAATTTTTTTTTTTTTTTTTTCTCTCGCACACTCTCTTTTATAGATAGGTCATTTTCATTTACAAGGGAATAACCTCACATTTTTATATGTATTGTTTAAAATTTTCAATTCGTCGCAACTTTAACGGTGACACGAACTCTAAATTCAAAAAAAAAAAAAAAAAATTTTTTTTATTTTTTTTTTTGCTATTGTTCGTTTTATTGTTAAATCTTGATAAAACCCTAATACTTCATACCGGGTTAAAAATCAACATTGATTCAATCTCTTAAATCTTATGTCCAATAACATGCGGAAATGTTCCTATTTGTATTTATTACCAGATTGCTTTGTTTTTCATACACAAGATTTTTTAGGAACAATGAAATTCCGAAATTCTTCCGCGGGTAAATATTGGGATTACAAAATATGGCGAAAAGGGAGGTGGTTCGTGCAAAATCAAATTATTTACCCAACCCATGGCCAATAGGGGTCGGATAACCTCGGATAATCATTTTAATTTAAATTAGATTAGATAAATAAACACAATACTTGAAAGTTGCAGATTTGTTTTTAGAAAGTTCTATAAAAATTTTGCCCCCCAAAAAATAATGTCAAACTAGTCAAAAAACGTCGTCATTGAAGTAATGAACTTTATTCGTTAATCCATTCACATGGCCGCACAATTGCTTAATAGAGACTGGTTGTTAGTCAGAATGACAGTCTCGCAGTCTCACGTGACACTGGGTGTGCAGATGGACTAATTAAATCAAACCTAGCCTGTATGTAGTCTCGTTGTCCAGATTTTTTAATCACCCATAAATTTTTCGACAAAATTCTTAAAATTCGTTAACTTTTGTTCTAATTTAGCAATTCAAACAAATTAAAAAATAATGACAAGTGAGCTGTTCCCGATTTATTATTTTGTAAAGGGGATTTTTTTTTTATTTAGAAAAAAAGCGAGCTGTTACATAAAAAAGACAATTATTTGGCAGAATTTAATAAGAATTCAGTGTGAAAATGGTCAATTTTAGTAAGAAACTTCTTATGAAAGTCGTATTTTACCGACGTGACATGCCATGCATCATGTGCTACATCATCCAAAAAACAACAACAAAAAAAAACTGAATAAAAAACACGTAATGTGGCTTAATTAGTATAAACTTGGTCAAGTTTAAACTTTAAAAAAAATAAGCTTAATATTTAGATTATTTATTAGATGAATCTTTTTTAGTATAAATAATAGTAATTTCTTCTTTAGAAAAGCATTATAATAAATAATAAATATTTATATAATATGACTGCACTATTCTTTTAGGTATTTATTTTCTAAATATAGTTTTAAATAATTTTGTATATTGTTAATATTTTAACTAAAATAGAAGATGAATATCAGAATATAAATAATATTTTCCGTTATAAATATATGATGATTTAAGAATAATGTCATTGATATATATGTATTGTATATGCGTTGCATAATCGTAAGATAATACTAAAGCTGATAAACATTAGGGTTATTGTTAACCTGGAACCATCAAAAATTCCTACATTTAGAGTTTATCATATGGTATGTACAATATTCTTGAATAAAATTATAATTCTGATCGCGATTTTTTAGGTGAAATTTAAGATTTTCCTGATGAATTCTTGCGGTTGCTGTTCATATTGATTGAATTCTCTACCATAAATGTGTGCGAAATCATTTCGCAATTTATTTGATAGATTTTCTTGTCATCAACTTGCTTATGATAAAATGAGTAAGCATTTATTAAGTTGGACATAAAGATCATTATAATCCACTAATTGAGATACAAGTTCAAATGATAACGGCATTTCTTTACAAATGATATGGTATATTTGAAAAATCGTTGCATGGTCTATAAAAGAACGAATATACATTCATAGCATCCGCTTGATCATCTTGAATCGGTTGCAAAGGGTAATTAGAATTCATTGCATTAACGTTAAGATCAGGTCTACCAAGTTGTTGCGATTGTAGACATTCGTTATTATCGAATTGCATGGTAAATGAATCTGAAGTTGTTGCATCCAAAATATCGCTGAAGTTAATTGTAACGTCTTGCAAAGTTAAAGTATTTACATCGGAGGAAACGTCAGAAGTGGTTTCTGAATCATGCATTTGTGATTTTGTTTCAAAAGTCACGGGAAAACCAATCATCTTGCAGATCGATCATGTAATTCACAAAATTCATATTGGTTTGGAAATACCTGGCATTCTGAAGATTGTTGAATAAACTTCTAGTAAAACTTCTTGAAGTCGTTCATATGATGCTAATCCCATAATAGATTTATTTCATAACCTCTGGATCTGATCTTTAATTTTCAACATTTACACCAATTTTGAAATTTTTGACTAACATCAAAAAACTAAAATGCAATAAAATCTCAATTTTGTTAAAAATTTTTCGGAAACTAGCAATCGCCTATATGATTTTTTATTTATAATAGAAAAATGCTTTGAAAAGTTTATATAAAACGAGAGAGAAAAAAAAAAATAAAAATAAAATAAAGTTTATAATAATCAGGCCGAATAATTTTACTATCAACAAATTTTGTAATTATAAACAAGTCAGTATTAGCTAGCTAGCTTTACTGTTAATCAAGGGGTAAATAATGATCAAATGCTTGACAATGATGATGATATATATTATTCTACTTTATAACAATATGGCGGCGTCAATAATTAGCAATACCTCACAAAAGTTTAAAGTTGAAATATGTGACCCAAAACCTTCATTTTGCGGGCAACCTTGTGGTGATTCTGGTCATATTTATTGTCCAATAGTCGGAAATGAAACTAATAGCTGTGTAATGGCTGCTGCAGATAGCCAAATAAATGAACTTAAGTTTCTTCGAGATATCTTTGATATATGTTCAACTGATGAAAGTACTAGTTGGAACATAACACATAATCCCAATTGTGATATTAAACAATTCCAATGATAAAAAGGTTGTAAATTACTCAAACATGCATGTAATACTTAGTGTTGTATATGAATGTTGAGATTTTATTGAAGAATGTTATATTATTTTCAAGCATTTATTAATTTGTATGTTTTAAATTTAATTTCTAATATAATAATTGTAATATTTAATTAAAAGAAATTTTTTTAATATTTATAGTTCTCTATTTATATTACTTTTTATAAAAAGAAATATTATTTACTGTTTTTTGATAATCATAATTATCCATGTTACTGTATATTACCGGAACGGTATAACATAATTAATTTGACATATTAACATCGAATTCAAAATGACAACATAATCATTATAATAAACAAAATTTAGATAATACTGATTTCCTGGTTCTTGTTTATATAATCCCAGTTGAATAAAATATATTTCATAAACATTTAAAAGGAATATTTGGACTTTATATAAAAAAAATTGAAATGTTCTCTCATAAGAGTATCGCAAAATTAAAGAATTGAATTATTTTAATTATCTATAAATTAAAATTTTGAAAAAAAAATTTAAAGTCCGCGATAATGCTGCGCCACTAAATAAAAATGACAAAAAAATGCCATGCTAGACGAAATCATAGTTTTTTGAGGTATGTTATGCTGCAGAATGTGCATTTTGGAAATAAAATTTCTATTTTTTTTCTAATGGATCAAGTATTAAAGTTTTTTTTAACTCATTGTAGGTGATATTATGGGAACATTTTCCCGGTTGATAACAAAGGTTTTTTTAAATTTGGTAAAAAGATTATGCGCATGCAAATGACTACTGCGCTACTTGATAATAATAAAAAAAAGATATATTTCAATCAATTTGTTTATCTTTATCATATCAATATTATAGCTTGCTGAAATTTAAGGAGTTAATATATACCGGAGAAAATTACGATCACCTAGGGTCATACAATTGATATACGATCGCTCAGGGCATAATATTATATTTTGATATTACATAATTATGCTGTAAAAGTATTCTGTATCTGTTTATTTTATCAGTTTAAAAAATAGTTATGAAAATCGATAAAATAAAATAAAGTTTAAAAATATATAAAAATATAGTAATAATTATGTCAATTTAAGGGATTCTTCTAACTATCATTATTATAATCTTTATGAGGTGCCAAATTTGAAAATCATTATGACAATAAAATGAATTAAATGAATGGACATAATATAAGAAATGGATAAAAAAAATTAAAAAATAATGAATGATCATTTTGCCGCTCAGCGAATAAAAATTGGTTTAACATTCAAGTACTCTCCAATTATATAAAGTACCATGAAAGTGATAACATTTATCCCCATCATTAGTGATTGGGCCAAGCCGTGTAAAAGGTTCACTAATACCTTGATTTACAGCGAAATCGAGGTAATAAAAGCTTACATTATCAGGAATAGTCAAAGAATAACCCTTGTGAGCAATTGCACCTTTGCTGGCGAATTGTCCCCCTTGTCCGTTTGTTAATAAAGCTTGAACAGATGTTTGTGTACCAGCCGTAATCTTGTTATGTATCCACACTTTATGATCAGCTTATTTATTCAATCCAACAAATATATATAAAATTATTAGAGCAGATATTATTAAAAAATTTAAATATTTTGTCATGATAATTCATGTTTACCTTCAATGAGAGTGAGCGACATCGATGTTAATAGGCCAAAGATGATTGCAATTAATGTGGAAAATTTCATGGTGAATTTATATTATTTTTTAATAGTAGTAAGTATGTTTTGAAGTAGTAAGTATGTTTTGATGAAGTTTTGATTTGATCCATGCTTTATATTTATAGCTAAAAATTTTTCATAACGTCAAAGGAAAAAAAAAACTAAACAAATTTCCTTTTTGCGATATTCACATTTTTATTTTTTATGAAATGATTTTCATTAATTTATTTCGAAAATGGAACAAAATTGTAAAAAAAAATTTTTGTAAATTAATAAATGTTTTGAATCAGATAAAATTTACATCTTTCTAATTCAGGAATAAATTTTTGAAAATTTTTTCGATTTTACCCTTTTTCCCGTCTGATACTATTGGTGAGATTTTCGAAAATAAGATAATCTAAAAAATCGAAAATTGAGTCTTAGAGTCGAATCTTGGAGAAACGATAAATCGATTCTAAATATTGTAATTCTGTCAAAAATTTGGGTGCCACGTTTTGAATTTGGCTACAAAGTTATTTGTTTGTATTTATTACCTCTTTTTTTTTTGTAGCAATTTAGCATTCCCCCAAATCATCTATATTATAAAAAATCCATGTCCGATCGGTAACGTTTAGATTACCTGTATAAAAAGGTTTTGAATTCTGTGACCTCGTGAGTTTACATTTCGTTTTTGCTAAAAAGTAATCTGTTTACCATTTTAGGATGATAACGAATTTGTTAGTATCAGATAAAATTTCTGGGTCAGTGATGTTAATGATCATCATGAACGTTTCACAACTCCTTAATTATCAAGGGGTCAGACTAAAATTTAACTATCATTAATTTCTAACTTTGTAATAATATATTTAGTTTTATTCTAATTTATTAACGTTAATAAATATCATTTAAGGCTGTCATACGTTGGCAATTATAATTTTTCCTAAAATATTTGAATTTGAAAAGAGATTTTAATTAGAACTAGGTTTTGATTTTCACTACGGGTGACTTGTCACTTTAACAAAACTATATATGGTCCTATAGTAAAACTTACTATTAGAGATTTTTTGAACTTCGGGTTTTGCGAGCCATGTTTCCTAATAAAATTCTAATAAAATAACCGAAATCTTTAAAATTTAATAACTTGTACTCTATTAACAATTAAGTAACGCAATAAAGTTGAATGGGTACATGATAACTTTAAGAAACATAAAATACATCATTTTTTTCAAAATTCACGTAAAAAAAAGTTTTATTTTATTTAGAAGGTTTAATTTATTAATTTCAGAGTATTAATGAATTTTTTTTAAAAAAAAGCGCTCTATTTTGTGAAAGAGACGGATATTTGGAGTATTTTCGAAGAATCTGAAATGAAAATGATAAGAAGGATTCAGAGTTATTCAAGAAAGAAAATATAGCTACGTTAATAGTAAATTTATTATAAATTAATTTAAATTATACTATAAAATAGCTTAATATAAATAAATCTTCAATAGTAATTTTGTTATAGGACCATACATAGTTTTGATTTAACTAGTTGACAGCGCACCCCAACTTGTCACCCACCTGTTTTTTTGTATTTTAATAAAAATAATTTTATAGGTAATTTGTCTAATGTATTTTTTTTTTATCCCTAGAGAAAAAAATCGCCTACAGAAGAGGAAAAAATAAAAAAAGGAATTAGTAATTAATAATCCCAACAATGCAAAAAAAAAAAGAACCGTCACGGCAAAGGTGAGTTTGTTGATTTTTTTCTTCTTTTTATTTGCATTGTGTCAGATTACTAACCTTTGCTATTTTTTTTATCTCTTATCTTTTGTTTTATCTAGGACGGATGGCTAGTCTAATCTGGATCTCGATCGGTTCGATCAGTCCGTCGCAGAAAGGTGAGATTTATTTTTTTTTTGAATAATTATATTATCTATTTTTATTCATAGTAATAAAACTTCCTTTATATATCTTTTGTTTTTAAAATCAGTTTACAGATATTTTTTATTTAGCTTGATTTAGGAGAGCTCAATCGGTCCGTCATGATGAAGGTGAGTGATTATCTTTTTTTTTTGTTGTTTTTTTGTATTGATTGGGATTACTAATTCCATTTTTTTTATTTTTTTTCTATTCTCTAGGGGCGATTTCTTTTTTTGGATTCAGATCGGACAGTTCATCACGACGGTTTAAGTGAGTGATGATTCGATCTTTTTTTTTGTTATTATTTTTTGTTTTATTTTTTTTGCCTTTAGTATTGTTTTCATTACTATTATTTTTATTTTTTTATTTTTTACATTGTTTTCTTTTTTTTTCTTCTATCTTTAATGCTATCGGTTCAGGGTTTTTTTATTTTATGTAGTTAATTTCTTTTAATTTTTTTTAGCTTTTGATCGGTTCAATGCGATCAGTGGCAATATGAACACAATTTTCCTTTTAAATCAATTTACTTACCTTTTTTATATTGGTCAATATTATTTTTTATCAACCAAAATGTATATTTCGTTAACATTATTTCGTTAACATTCTTTGATTAGTTAATAATTCTTATTGAATTTTTTTTATAATGCCTTTTTTTGCTTAATTTTTATCTTTCAGACCTATTTTATGTTTGCTGGTCTGATATTATATGCATAAAAATCGTTCGAAAAGTTCGATACACTTAAGTTTATTAACAAATTATAAGCCAGTTTCCTCAGCTATTTCTCTTTCGATTGGTATATATATTTTTTATAGAGCCTTGTATATTATTACTATTTGATCAACTTGCGCGCGTTTAGAATTTTTTTTTTACCGATACATCATTTAGATTTTAAAATAATTTTACAAACCTTTTACTTTAAAAAAAAAATAAATAAATAAATAATAAATTACTCGTTTAACAAGCTGTCCTTGAACATATTTCAATTTTGTATTAAAGAGTTAAGAAGCACGTCACTTTCAAAGTTTGATAAATCTCAGATATATACCGACAGAGCTCATATTTTAAAAAGTTTAGATTAATTTAATGAATCTCTTAGAAATGTATTACTATTATAATAAAATAGTTCTGTTATTCTGAATCAATTATCACATTTATTGATATCGTAGGTTAATTTAATTTTTTGCAAAAATAAAGGGAGCCAAAGAAGTTATTAGTAAAAATCATGACCGGCTATGCATCTACCAACTCCTGACGAGGAAGATCAAGCATCAAATACATATTTGGGAATCAGAAATGACGGGTAGGCATTTTGATGGGGAACTTTCTTATGAACAAGCATGATTCACGTGATCAATAATAGAATACTCATAATTTTAGCAATTCTTCTGGCTAATTCTAATTGCGAAATCTATTGGAAATTACTACATATAAAAGCTGCCTACTTGATATGAAATTAATTCCTCACCTTTAGACGAATCCATGAGTAGTGAAATTAATACTTTATTAGAGGGCGCTGATTTTATAAAATCATAATGTATAGAATTTATTTTAAAAATTCCTTTATTGAAAACGAAATTTTCAAATTTTTTTATCAATAAAAAAAAAATAATAATAAATTGTATATTTTTTACTAATCCGAGATAAAGTTTCTTGATTCGATAACCGAATATATTACAATAATAAGTTTGTTTTAATTCAAAATAATAATATTTATCTTATTTAATAAAATAGTGAATCCGTGAAAGTTTGTTGCTAATATAAATAGATCTGTAAGAAAGTGCCTAGAATGCAAAATTCTTAAATATCCCAGATATAAATGGTTATATACACTAGACATACGTGTGTATCTCGTCAAGATCTCACATTTTCTGGTTCTAATACTACTGGTGGTATGTCCTGTAATATATATATAATATAAAAGAACGTCGTTAGCATTATGCTTCAGTGGGATATCTCAAAGATGATTGGGATATATAAAATACTGACCCCACGAGTTTGAAACTTCCTGTAAACCGCCACAGCAATAATCGTAACCAAAATGAATGATAGAATTCCAACAATTGTGCCTAAGCCAGTTATTGTATGAGCTTGTGATACCGCTTTAGGTTCACATAATTCTCCTTTTATGAACCTTCTAACGTTGCTACCTATAATGCTTTTCCAATTACATTCATTACATCCCTCTTGAAATACGTCACCGCATGTAAAATTTGCCGTAGGATTTCCCGTAGAATTACATAATTGATAGCCCTGAACTTGATCATAACAAACAGCAACCTCATTAGATTCTTCGAGCTTATTCCGACTCAATATCCATTCTATTGCTTCAGGAAAATAAAGTTTGGTATATTGTGGATCGTCTTTCGATCCACCTGCTGTTAAACAGAAAAGACTGTCTTGCAAACCGCCACAAACATTAAGTGCGACACTATCATTGCGTTTGCAAGCGTCAAAGGTTGTAAGATTGTGGCATTGGACAATTTCATTCGGTACGAAGCAACCAGATGAGTATGCAGAACAACTACGTTCCTCTTTATTGCAACACAATAATTTATCAGAAGGGACACGCTCCTTGTTTTCTTCGATTATGCTACAAATCAAACTTTTTTCGTTGTAATAAAGTTCGTATGAACAATTAGTAATCGGTCGATACATAACGATAATGAATTGCTTTTACGTAAAATGAGCGTTGTGAAAGTGAAAAATTGGTTAACCTTTCATAAAGCCTAATTTCTGTGGATTGTATTACCACATGATTAACCTCATCTAATCTCATCTCGGACGAAATTGGAAATAAGTGCTGTTCATATAATAGAACGAAGATAGGAAATCTGATCCTTTCTAAATATGACTGTAAAGCAGAAATTTCTATCATTCCGCAGCATCATATTATCCAAAATTTATAATAAAATTTATAAAAAGAATTAACCATAATCCAAAGCTTTTTAAAGAAGGACCATCTATTTGTTAAGAAAATTTTGACTTTGACAGTATTTGTTGATCTAATTCGGAATTTTTGTTTAATAAACAAAGAAGAATTTATGCAACAAGTTTGTCCTGGTGAAGTTTGGCAGTTCCAGTTGATTAAAATGATTTTTCATCAGGTTATTAGCTGGATTAATCCATGAAAATTGCTGCTAAATTAGAATGATTTTGCAATCTATTTTTTTAAAAAATTTTATCTGCCCATTTTACTAAATACAGTATATGCATTGCATTTTATAAGTCGGTGGAAATAATAAAAGATTTATTTATAATTATGGAAACTTTCTTAATTAAATTATTTGTATTAAATAAATTTGTATTATAAAATTACTAAAATGAGATTCTTAGACTCCTCTAATTAAAATTGAGAATTTGTTTCATACTTGACATCAAGGGAATTGAATGTCTCAATCATGTAAAGAATTATAGAAGTTGTCCTAATTCTGAGGCGGTTCCTGTAATATAATTAAAAAGAACCTCATTAGTTATACTCCGGACGAGATACCTCAAAGACGGAGGGATGGATATATATAAATTAAATTAATACTGACCCCACTAGTTCGAATTTTCTTGTGAACTTTCACAGCAATAATCGAAATCAGAATCATTGCTAAAACTCCAACACAAATGCCTAATCCAATTATTGTAGGCGTTTGAGAATCCACACTAGGTTCACATATTTCTCCTTTTATGTATCGATTAAGGATGCTACCTCCACTGCTTTTCCAAGTACATTTATTACATCCCTCTTGAAATAAGTCACCACATGTAAAGTTTGCAGTAGGATTTCCAGTAGAGTTGCATAATTGATATCCCTGAACTTGATCATAACAAACAGTTGACTCCTTAGATTCTTCGAGCTTGTTCCGACTCACCATCCATTCTATTGCTTCAGGAAAATAAAGTTGGGTATATTGTGGATCATTTACCGCTCCACCCGTCGTTAAGCAGTAAAGTCCACCTTGCAAACCACCACAAACCTGGAGTGCAGTTATATCATTACGCCTGCAAGCGTCAAGGGTTGTAAGATTATGGCATTGAACTATTGCATCTGGTTCAAAACAATCTTTTGTGTAGGCGGAACAATTATTTTCCTTTTTATTACAACACATTAATTTATCAGGAATGATTTGCTTCTTGTTTTCTTCGAGTTTTTTACAAATCAAGCTTTTCTCATAGTAATTACGTTCGTAATCACAATAAGTGATTGGACGATAATGTCTTTTCGAAAAAAGTTCATATAACATCAAAAAGGGGCAAGTATTTTATATTGAAAAACTTTTGGTAAGATGAGATTATTTGTTTGCTTTTATAAACCTTTTTTCAATAAACGTACAACCAGCACCAATGTAATACAACATTTATGTCATACAGGCAAATAGCGATATAATAGAATTAATTTTTCTTTCGAATTTTAAATTTTAGATTATAATACGTATTCAATTGGATAAATTGATATTATTTAAGCAAAGTATAAACATACATAGAAACGAAAAAAAATTATGAAAATAAAACTAAAAAGATTTATTATTAAAAGGGAAACTATAATAATATTTTAATATTTTAAATTTGTTTGTTACACGATTAAAATTAAAAAATCGACGAAAAAGGAAATCATCATGATTCTATCACCCAATGAAAAATTCAATAAAAAAAAAAAATTTTATCATACACGTTGAAACGATAGAAAATTTTTATTATATCAAAATATAGAAAGAGAGATAAAGGATATCATTGATTACAATTTATGAGTAACAATATATAGATACAGTCAACACTCTCTAAATGCACCCTCTCTAAATGCACACACTATATATTTTCTCACTAAATACACGCTCTTGTTCAGTCCCAAGCATATAGAATTCATATAAAAATTTTCTCTTTAAATGCACACCCTCTTTAAATGCACATTTTTTAAAATTTTCACTATGGTCCCGAGGGGGTGCATTTAGAGAGGGTTGACTGTATATTCTTATATTTTTTAATAAACTCGGACTTTTACATAAAGGTGTGCGAATTTCATATAACTATTCCGTTATTATAAGGTCAAAAGTTACTATTTTGCAAAATTTGGACATTTAATTTTGAATGGGATTCTTAAATTTCTAAAATTTGTGAAATTAGGATTCGATTAAAAAAAAAAAATTTATTAGTTAAAAAACAAAGGGTAATTTGTTACTAAAATCAGCCATCAACAAATATAATATAGCAACGGTAAAAATATTACTTAAAAATGGTTAACGAAAATCTCTTTTTTTTGCGGTAAACTAGTGGGCACAGCGTTGCAAAATATTATTTTATGTTATAAAAAATCGAAAATGTTGACAAATTATTATTCACGAGTTCCTTGCAACCTTAACTAATTATTCTGTTGGAAAATGATATATATATTATATATAATAATTTTTATCCTTATCCAATCCATGCTCTGGGATGTTTGTACATTCGCCCCTTTATAGTCACACCCCTCGAAAAAGTGCAATAAACTAGTTATTGGTTAGATGGATAAAATATCGTGTCACCCCTTTCGGGGTGACCGATATTTTACCCCCCAACCAATAACTATTCTTTACTAAGTGTTGGTTCTGAAAGGGTGTAACTATAAAAACATTGAGATTATAAAGGGGGTTTTTTTTATATAGCATTAATAGGTCTTATAATAATGGATTTATATGATGTGATTGTACAGGGTGACTATAGAGGGGGACGACTGTATTTACAGCACTACGACCGGCAACATCCATTTAATGCTCCAAGATGGTCGTATAAAACACAACCCGACGTGATTTATGATACCGAAATCGAAGCGGGTGTCACGGCCGAAGAATATGTGACCGAAAACGAAGAATATACCGAAGTTGGAAGGGGTATATCAGATCAGAGAAATTTTTATCGGTAAGTAAATAAGAATTTGTGATACGATCGAACTTATTTAAACAAATAATAGATGTGAATATTTTTCTGTTCAGGACAAATAATATTAGCTTTTCATATATCGAATTTCATGTACTGTATTATTATTTAAATGATTAATATTCTCATAACCTAAAAGTTGCATTTGATTCTTGAACGTGCTTTTATATCATGATTACATAGACCTTCAATTTGCTGTTGATGAAAAACGATTTATACCAGATTCTATGTTTAACGAAATTTAAATGGAGAAAATTCATTAAATTTTTCATCATTTAAAGCCTCTAAAAGAAAAATGTATGTTTAAAATCATTCTTGCAATCCTTTTCAAACTTTCAATATATAAAATCTCGTTGGTTATTTTATACGAGAGAATAAAATACCTTAATAAAACATGAGCAAATTTATGACTAAATTTTATAACCTCTTGTTGGATTCAGTATAAGTCGATAATAGAATTAGCAGCGGTAACCGTAGCTGCAGCAGGAACAGCTGCAATGTACCCAATAGCGTTCCCCAAAACACTTCTATTGGGATTGTAACTTGGTAGGCTAGATTGCCTGCAGCTAGTGCTCCGTAAGGGTCGGGTCGGGTCGGGTTTGAAGCATATTCGAACTCAAACCCGTTAATAATTACAGAACCCGAGATTCGACTCGACCCGATCATTGTTCGACTCGGATTCGACTCGTTCAACCCGGGTCGACCCGGGACCGACTCGAATTTCAAG